TTGTCATAGGAGACAATGTGACCAAAATGTCTCTAATGTAACCTAATTTTCCCCAGATGTTCTTCACGTCATGTGACACTATTTCAAGTTAATATGCTGATTGTGTTACAAGGGAACTTACTGTATATGTAACATGTGAGTCATTAGGAACCGAAAGAGGTATTGGTTCAAGTCTCTTTTCTGCTAATTGTGACAGACACATTAACTAACAGTACTAGATAGTTTACCCGAGCCCAGGAAGATTTATGCATCTCCTCATGAGCGATGAGGTCTGAATGGCAGATGAAAGCTGCATCACAAGTGGAACACATCTTGCTCATTGATCTTTGAGAGCTGACTGATTCTTCTCCTTCCAGTCCTTCATGTTTGCTCCCTTCTAGCTTAAGAATGTGCTGTTTTCTTCGTTCCTGAAACATTAAAATATGCTACTATAGTGAAAATTATTCCAAAAGGATTCATATCTTCAACAGAAATAAATATTTGCAAGCATGTGAGAGAGTGCCAGAATGGAGGGAGTGGAGACAAACAGTTTAAAGAAATTGTCAAACTGTTGAAGTGTGAGCAAGGTAACATTTATGAAGGCATTCAGGTATACCGGTTAGCCAGACCCAAGTCCTGGAGGCGGAAATACAGAAGGGATGTTGCAGTGATAGGGTAAACTGAATTGTGATGCCAACACAGAGACTGAATGAATGATGGTGAATATGTTTCTTTTGGTCATCTTTTGTAAACGAAAATACATTCAAAGTGACAACTAAGCATTTTCCACGATCTCTCAATTTGTTTTATGTGCATGCTGGTTTTTCTGGATAAACTGTAGATTAACCCTTAAACTGTCCAAATAAATTTATGTTCACATGCGTAGTGCTCCAAAAGTAGATCTACGTTTTTTTACATATTTTCAAATATAACAAAAAAAAAAAACGTAGATCAAAGTTTTTTTACACGTTTTCTAATGTAAAAAAAAAAAAAAGATCTACGTTTTTTTACATACTTTCAAATGTTGAAAAAACGTAGATCTACGTTTGGACAGTTGAAGGGTTAAAAAACATGCACATATGCAGTTACAAATAAAAGCCCTACCCTTGCTTCACAGTGCAGGTACTATATTGAACTGACCTTAATGTGTCTACGTATAATGTAGTGTATAATATTTTTATGCATACAACTAATAGTTCAAACACTTTTTATCATCTCACCTTGAACCATATATGAACATCAAGTGGATCTATTTCCAGACGTTGAGCGATATATCCAATATCCATGGGGTCCGGGAAGTTATTGTGAAAGTAGTGAGCCTCAAACACAGTGAAATTCCACAAAGGGACACGCCCGTAGTGTGGTGGTGTGTTGTCCTCCATATTCTGCAATAGGTTAAAAATATTAGGCACACATGGCATGAAATATACTGCCATTTGTTGCATTATATTTCACAGCTATCATGCAAAAATTACCCCAGCTTTCAAGGAGAATAAGGAAATGTTGGATTGAATTTCACACTTATTACACAGAAAAAAAAGGTACAAGTCTCCTGTGCTTTATGAGGATTCAATACTATGCAATGGCCTACCTGAAGTTCCACATATGTGATATAAAGCCTCTCTTCACTTAACGACAGAGTTCCGTTCCTAAGACCATGTCAGTAAACGAATTTGTCGCTAAACAGGAAGCATACTATAGTGGTAGTGAGTTTGTGTCAACCATCTCTGATATGGTTTTAACCCTTTCAGGGTTGGTCCCATGTATGTAAAGCTTGATAGCCAGTGTCGATCCCGTATTTATACGTCAAAATTCTAGCGCTTTCAATCCGGTGGAAGAAAGCTGGTAGGTCTACATATGAAAGAATGGATCTGTGTGGTCAGTGTGTGCAGTATAAAAAAATCCTGCAGCAAGCAGTGCATAATGAGAAAAAACCTCCGATAATGTTTTTGGTGTAAAACAGCGATTTTGCAGTGCATTTTCGTAGTATGATATTTATGGTTGTATTCTCATTTTCTTGGTCTCACTTGATAGAATGGAAGATATATTAGAGAAATGGAGATGATTCTGATTGGTTTCACGATGAAAAGTACCTTGAAATTGAGTTCAAAGTAGCAAAAATGTTTGATTTTTGCCGATGTTCAAGAGTAAACAAATCACACCACGCATCCAATACACGTCAACTGGTAAGTCCAATATTTTTTCACATAGTGCACTGATATTATTTATACCATTTTTATAGTGATGCAGTAGTCTGCATAACAGTAAATCTTCTATTTTTTGCGAGAATAAAAATTCAAAATGGAAAGCAAGAGTAATATAAGAAGGGCCTGGAGACATGACTAATGAACAGAGAAAATGTTATTTTAGTGCCAGGAATTTCTGTCTTGTTTATTCTGAACTCTATTTTGAAATTTGGTTGAAATTGGCCAAATTGCCAATTTCTGACTACTTTATTGGGTAGTTGAAATAGGTAAATGGGCAGTTTCAAGTGCTCAATCGATAGAACAAATGGAGTTCTAGCGAAATAGCTATGATTTTAGTCAACTGGAACAGTGGAATTGGCCAAAACAGGGCTCAAAGTGGGTAAAATCGCCGATGCATAAATATCGCTGATATCGCCAACTTCACGAAAGCGTAATTTCGTAAATTTAGCATCAAATTTCATACTTTTGGTGCCATTGCCATCGGGAAAAGATTCCCTATCACTTCGTAAGAATTTTTTTTTTTTTTTTAAATTTTTCGACCCTGAGTGAGTTAACCCTTTCAGGGTCCAAGGCCCAAATCTGGAGTCACGCACCAGTGTCCAAGAATTTAAAAAAAAAAAATGTTATTTTTTCTTATGAAATCGTAGAGAATCTTTTTGTGAAGGTAATAAAACAAAAGTACGAAATTTGGTGAAAATTGACGAAATTATGCTCTCGCGAATTTTGATGTGTCAGCGATATTTACGAATCGGCAATTTGCCGACTTTGACTCCCATTTTAGGCCAATTACATTATTCCAATCAACCAAATTCTTAGCTATTTCACTAGTATTACTTCTATTCTATCGATTGAACACAAGAAATTGCCAAGTCAACTGTTCAACTACAAAATAAAGTGATGGGAAATTGTTAATTTGGCCAATTTTAACACAAAGTTCAAAATATTCCAATTTCAAAATAGGGTCCAGAATGAACAATGTAGGCATTCCTGGCACTAAACTAACATTTCCTCTGTTCATTAGTTAGTTTTGAGGCTTTACAAATAAATTCCATTTTGATTTTTTATTCACATAATGAATTTTTATTCACACCAAAAAATAGAAGATTTACTGTTATGCAATACTGTAATAATTGTATAAATATCATCACCATATTTGTGAATGTATATTAGACCCACCAGCTGACGTGTATTAGACGTGTGAGGTCGTTTGTTTACTCTTGAATATCGGCAAAAATTTAACATTTCTGCTACTTTGAGCTCAATTTCAAGCCATTTCCAGTGCTAAAACCAATCAAGATCATCTCTATTCCTGTAATATGTCTTCCATTCTATCAAATGAGACCAAGAAATCGCAAATACAACTATAAAAAACATACGAAAAAACACTGCAAAGTTGCTGTTTTAATCGAAAAATCATGATTTCATTTTTTTTCTCTCATTATACACAGCGTGCTGCAGGATCTGTTTTATGTGGTGCACACATACCACATAGATGTATTCTCTCATATCTAGGCCCAAATGTACCACTCACAGTTTATCAGAGTGAGCTGAGCTCATGGCGTAGATCTACGGTTTGGACCCTGAACGTAAAGCCGTAGATCTACGGGACGGACCCTGAAAGGGTTAAGGATCAGGGGTCTCAACCCTCAAAGGGTTATTAATGTTACCTTTGCACCATTTGTAACATTTTTAGTATATTTTTAAATGTTTATACAGTAGTGTACTATATACTGTAATAAACAGAATACAGGAAATCAGCTCTAATATACATTATTTAAGTATGCATAATTTTCAGAGAGCTCATCGTAAGTCCAAGTCGTCAGTAAACGAGTATGTCGTTAAGTGAGGAAAGGCTGTATAGTGGCTGTATGCATTCGATACAGTTCATAAAATATACTGAAGATTCTTCTTATGAGTAATAGTGTTTATGGTATGACTTAACTGAGCACAGCTGCCAAGGACCTGGAACATATCCTGAAGCATAAAACAAGGAATGCCTGTACCCTTCTGCTGACTGGCGTGTCTTTTCTGAAGCCAAAATCACTCGGTCACAATACTTCATACCCACTTATATTTATCCAGCTCTTTCTCCCTATATCTTTCCCAGTGCATAAGTGTATCAGTGTTTTTTATATTTAGCCTCTATTTTCCAAAGCACAAAGGTATGCTTGCTTCCTATGACATTCAGCCTTTCCTTAAATTCTTATTCCTCAGTAGAAGAAACATGTGAAAACTTCATTTCTGTAATTGATGCCAGTATGGTAATATAGATTAATTTACTTTTTTTTTTAATGCACCGGCCATCTCCCACCAAGGCAGGGTGACCTAAAAAGAAAACCAAGTTTTTCATTTTACATGTAGTAATTTATACAGTATTTTAGTTGCCTTTTATGGCACACATGCCTTATGGAGCAAAGATTCTTTTCCACTTCCCCATGGAGTTTAATTTATTTATGCAAGACAAAGTGAAACAAGCACTGGTTACTGGCACAAATGAACCCACAGAGACAATGAAACAAAAGATAAGTATTGTATATTTCAGCCTACCACCAAAACCTTCTTCAAGTATCTGGAGTTTCAATCCTCTGGGTACTACTCATGACATAAAAACACTAACTCTACCAGATAGTTTACCTGAACCCAAGATGATTTATGCATCTCCTGGTGAGCAATGAGGTCTGCCTGGCAAAGGAATGCTGCATCACAAATGGAGCACATTTTAATCATGGCTTTTTGTGAGTTAATTGCTTCTTCTCCTTCCAATTCTTCATGCTTGCTTCCTTCCAGCTTAAGAATGTGTTGCTTTCTTCGTTCCTGAAATTGACAAAAATGTGACACTAATGTAAATCATTCAGAAAAAGGGTTACATTGAAGTTAGAAGTCAATATTTTTATCTCCTCTCAGTGCATGTTGCAAACTGTCAAGTGGATTATTATTACTGTACTTTCAAAGAAAGTGTTACACCAGTACGAGCCATTCATTGCTGTATAGCAAGAGTGAGGCAGATATTAGAAAGAAAGTGATACACGTGTCAAAGGCGAGCACATGAGGAAATGGAGAATGCAGTAAGTTCAGTAAATCAGTTTTAACCATTCTTAAATGGTCCAAACGTATATATACAGGTCTCCCTCAACATTCACGTTTTCAACTTTCACGGGCTTCACACATTCGCGAATTCCCAACTGCCAAATTCCCAGCCACCAAATTCCCAGCCGCCAAATCATATTTAAGTTTCCCGCCACCTGCGAGTCCCTACTACCATCCCTCCGACCCCCGCAACTGGCAGCCAGCCCTCCCACCACTCAGTGTGGTGAGTGTTTTGTTTGTTCATTATTTGCTATTAAACTACAGTATAAATAATGTAAACCCATTCATGACTGCATACTGGAATGGCTATACAGACAGGTATTAGACGGTGACATCGTGTGTTTACTCTTGAACACTGCAAAGAATTAAACATTTCTGCTATAGCTAATAATAACAATAGTAATAATAATAATAATAATAATAATAATAATAATAATAATAATAATAATATGATATAATTGAAGAAGGAAATTGTACAAAAATACGAGGGAGTGGTTGACACATCATCAGTGAGACTTTGTTTATGCTGGAGTGAACATTAGTCTCCCTGCTCTTCCAAATATTTCACAATAATTTATTGAGTTTGGTGCTTGTAGATTGAATGTGACTGGCATGGTAGAGGCAGTGATTGAGGCAATGGTATTTAATAACATACATGTTAATAATAATACATGCTATTAATAATATATACTATTATTATTTATAACATATATGTTATTAAATACATTTTTTTTTTTTCAACAAGTTGGCCGTCTCCCACCGAGGCAGGGTGACCCAAAAAAGAAAGAAAATCCCCAAAAAGAAAATGCATTCATTATCATTCAACACTTTCACCACACTCACACATAATCAGTGTTTTTGCAGAGGTGCTCAGAATACAACAGTTTAGAAGCATATACGTATAAAGATTCACAACATATCCCTCCAAACTGCCAATATCCCAAACCCCTCCTTTAAAGTGCAGGCATTGTACTTCCCATTTCCAGGACTCAAGTCCGACTATATGAAAATAACCGGTTTCCCTGAATCCCTTCACTAAATATTACCCTGCTCACACTCCAACAGATCGTCAGGTCCCAAGTACCATTTGTCTCCATTCACTCCTATCTAACACGCTCACGCACGCTTGCTGGAAGTCCAAGCCCCTTGCCCACAAAACCTCCTTTACCCCCTCTCCCCAACCCTTTCGAGGACAACCCCTACCTCGCCTTCCTTCCCCTATAAAATTTTTTATGCTTTTCCATGCCCTTTCCTTTGTTTCCATTTTTCTCAAATGCCCAAAATTTTCCCTCAACAACCCCTTTCTTCGCCCTTGACTAATATTTTAAAAAAAACTCCAAAACCCTTTTCCAAATTTTCCCCAAAATCTGAATTTTCTGATAATATTTACACCCACATTCCCCTTTAAAACCAGGACATCTCCATTCCCCTCCAACTGTCCCCTTGCTGCTGTTTTAAACCCCCCAAGCTTACCCCCCGTATAAGGTTTTTGGGTACAAACTAAAACTTTTCATAAATTCCCTTCTTTGCCTCCTAGAAAAACATTTTTGGACTCCACATATACCTCAATGCACCACTCATTTTTTTTCCCCATCAATTCTATGTTTTAACCTCACCTTCATAAACCCATCCCCCGACACGTCAACTCCCAAAGAAACCCGGGAAAAAACTTTACTTCTTCCATACCCCTTTCCCCCCCAAATTTTGAAACCCAAAATTTTTTTTTTAAAAAAATATTTGATACCCTCATCACCTTACTCTTTTCTTGTTCACTTTAAATTTTTTTACCTTTACACACATTCCCAAACTAAACCCAAACCCTTTTGCAATTTTTCTTTAGAATCCCCATAAGCCAGAAATCTTCAGCAAAAAGTAACTGTTTTTAAATTTCCCCTTTTTGGGAATTTGTTTCCCCCATAATTTAATCAAAACCCCCCCTCCAAAAACACCCAGCATTTACTTCTTTTAAAACCCCCACCCTATAAATTTTTTTAAAAAACCCATGGTGAATTACACATCCCTGTCTAAGACCTATTTTTACCGGGAAGTAGTCTCCCTCTCTTCTCCACCCCCCAAACCTGACCCCTCACTATCCTCATAAAAACTCTTTTTCTCATTTTTAACTTACCCCCTAATTTCCATATACTGGCCAAAAATCTGCCCCCATTGCTTTCCCCATCCACTCTATCATATGCCTTTTTTAAAAACCATTTTAAAAGCAATACAAACTTCCCTACCTTTAAACTAAAAACTGTTAAATATATGCTTCAATGGAAACACTTGACTACACCCTCCCCCACCCCCCCTGAAAACCCCCTTGCTCTCCCCAATCCAAAATTCGTCTTTCCCCTAAATTTTTTCAATTTTTAAACCCCACCATACAAATTTTTCCCCCTATAAATCAATTTAAAATTACTCCTCTATTTTTTTTTTACAAACTCTTTGTCCCCCCTTTCCCCTTTTTTTAAAGGGAAATATAAAAATGCCTCCGCCCAAACCCTAGGTACCCTTTCCCCCCTTTTATACATTTAAATTTAAAAAAAAGTACCAACCCCTCCAACAATATATCCCCCCCGCTTTTAACAAATTTTTGTCATGATCCCCTCAGTTCCAGCTGCCCTTTCCCCCTTTCATTTTTACGTAAAGCCCCACGTAAACCCCCCCCCCCCCCAAATTACTTCTGTCTTCTTTACTCCTAAAAAATGGGGAAAATCCCTGACCAGTGCATGAAATTTCCACCTCCCTTTCTTCCTCAACATTTTTAAAAAAATTCCTCAAAAAAAACTCGCCATTCCCACCTAAAACCCCCATCTCCCCTCTACTAATCCCCCACTCTGTTTTTAAATGACAAACCCATCTTTCCCTAGGTTTTTCTTAACTTTTTTAACTCACCCCAAAATTTTTTTTCTTTTTTTCATTAAAAATTTTTGACAGTGCCTCTCCCATTTATCATTGTCTCCTTTTGCACTCTCTCCCCCTCTCTCCACCTTTTTTTTACTTCCATATACTCTGCTTTTTTTATAACCCCTTCTGTTTTTTAAAAAAACCCCTCTCATAAGAACTTTTTTCTTTTATCACACCTTTACCACATTCCCAATCACTCCTCTTTCCACCTCCCCCCACCCCCTAAAACCACAAACTTCTCCCCCACATTCTAATCTCTTTTTTAAAACTTTTTCCAACCCTCTTAAAACCCCCCCCACTACCATTTTGCACTACCCACCTTTTGCCAATATTCGCTAAACATCTCACCCGAACTTCCTCCCCCCTTAGTTTTATACCTTTCACCTCCCTTTATTTGTTGTTGCCCCTTCCTCTTTTCCCCTCCCTCTTACTCTAACTGTAGCTAAACAAAATAATGATCCGATTTCATTTCCCCTCTAAAACATGTACACCCTGGACCCTACCCTAAAACCTTTTATCCCCAATACATAATTAAAAAACTACTTTCATTACGGCTCATCATCCTTGTAATTTATTTATCCTTTTTTTAAAAATATGTAACTTTTAAAAATTCTTTCTACACATAGCCAATTAAAGGCCCCCATTTACATTTACCCCCGGCACCCAAATTTACCTACTACTCCCCCATAAATTTTTACCCACTTTTGCATTGAAATCCCAAACCCCCCATTACTCTACACTTGATTCAAAACTCCCACGCATTCACTCAACATTTCCCAAAATCTCTCTCTCTCTCCTCTACACTTCTTTCTTCTCCAGGTGCATACACACTTACTATAACCCACTTTTCACATCCAAACTTTATTTTACTCCACATAATCCTTGAATTAATACATTTATAGTCCCTCTTTTCCTGCCATAGCTTATCCTTCAATATTATTGCTACTCCTTCTTTAGCTCTAACTCTATTTGAAATCCCTGACCTAATCCCATTTATTCCTCTCCACTGAAACTCTCCCACCCCCTTCAGCTTCGTTTCACTTAAAGTCAGGACATCCAGCTTCTTCTCATTCATAACATCCACAATCATCTCTTTCTTATCATTTGCACAACATCCACGCACATTCAGACTTCCCACTTTGACAATTTTCTTCTTCTTATTCTTTTTAGTAATCTTTACAGGAAAAGGGGTTACTAGCCCATTGTTCCCGGCATTTTAGTTGACTTTTACAACACGTATGGCTTACGGAGGAAAGATTCTTATTCCACTTCCCCATGGATATAAAAGGAAAAGTAATAAGACCAAGAACTATTAAGATAAAATCAAAGAAAACTCAGATGAGTGTGTATAAATAAACGTGTACATGTATGTGTAGTGTGACCTAAGTGTAAGTAGAAGTAGCAAGACATACCTGTAGTCTTGCATATTTATGAGACAGACAAAAGACACCAGCAATCCTACCATCATGTAAAACAATTACAGGCTTTTGTTTTACATTCACTTGGCAGGATGGTAGTACCTCCCTGGATGGTTGCTGTCTACCAACCTACTACCTATAAATACATACATGTTAATAATAATACATGTTATTAATAATAACATGTACTATTATTATTTATAACATTCTTTTTTTTTTTTTTTTTTTTCAACAAGTCGGCCGTCTCCCACCGAGGCAGGGTGACCCAAAAAAAAAGAAAGAAAATCCCCAAAAAGAAAATACTTTCATCATCATTCAACACTTTCACCACACTCACACATTATCACTGCTTTTGCAGAGGTGCTCAGAATACAACAGTTTAGAAGCATATATGTATAGAGATAC